AAGGGGCATCCGTGCAATGCGGGATACATAGTGGCGTGACAGTGTCAGAGCCGTGCTGGAGTTGCGTTCCTATGATGAAATGTGAATCGACCGACCGGAAGTCGCAGATGTGAAACTAACCAAAACGCTGGCATCAAACCACGATTCTACTTTACGCTGACGTAGATGTGTCTCTATGATATAGTCGCCGAGGTCACCAATCCATACTTCTTCACAATCCGAGAGGTCGGAAGATACCAGACGTCGTTCCTCTTCAGTTTGATGGTACTCTCGTGCAGCTGTTGTAAGATCCGTTCCCTCCATAAGAGGCGACTCGGGGCGATTTGCTTTTGAACGAGGAGGATTTCGACGGGGTGCCTAAGGGATAAGAATAGGAAGGTGAGTAAAGCCGAATTAGCCCTATGTATGCCTGATGAAACTTACGCGCTTTACAATCGGAGGCTGGTAATCGGGGTCGTCGTCTGGAGCCACAGGCTTTCTCCGTTTTCGCGGTGTGGGTTCGTTTTCGCCTTCCTTGTAGTAAGCGCCCACGGAAGATGCGCGGGGTTCTGGAGGTGGTGGCTGGTGCTGTCCATCCCGTTCACGCTGAGAATAATAGTTGCCTCCTGGACCAAGAGGAAAGATCTCTCCCTGAACATAATCACCCGAGTATGGATCCCAACCTCCGGCACCCTGATAAGAGGGTGTCTGGTAAGAATATCCACGAGGAAGTGGTGGCTGCTCTCCGAGAGGAGTTAGACTCCGACGAAGAGTTTGGGGATGAGGAGATATGACTGTGGCTCGGGAGAGAGGTGACACGTCTGCTAACGAAGGATCGATACCACCACCACGTGAGGAAGCGGATTTTCTCGCCGGGGGTGGTTCGTCGTTGAGAATTCGGCTAAGCGACATAGAGAACCAAAGTGGTGACAAGTAAGATGCAAAGAGAGGAAGATATAACGAGGCAGTAGCCGACTTAAGTGTTGTAAAGACAGGTCGCCTCGTGGGACCAGGAGATGTAAAGAGAAGGGCGCTGTGGCAGTCAACCTAATGCCCGAATATTTCTTCAGAAGCTAAATAAAGTGGTGTTGTGGTCGACGTTGACGGTGATGAGCACCAACTAAGAATTTTCGGGTTAAAAAGTGTGAGCTCGGTGTGGATAACGAGGAAGACTGTTGCTGTGCAAATTACGAGTAGAGACGAGGGAGTGCTGTGACGGGAAGTTGTACTGATTTGACGTGGTATATTTCGTTTGCGGTTGGATATAGCATTCTTGCCTTTTTTGTATTCGCTGTTCCTTCCTTGCTGTTCTTGGCGGACGAGCTTCTCTCTATCAGATCTTCACACCACTCGCAGTAACCTACGCATTCTTTATCGATTAAATTGACACGAGTTGGTTACCAACTGTGCCATACTGTTTCAGAAGAGGCTGGCATAGGGTCTCCATGTTACAAATATCATGCAAAATGCCATCTTGTGACTATATGTCATCTGGGTATAACATCAATTCTGGTCGCACTTTCTCATCAAACTCTTCAGGTGTCAGGTATCCGAGCGCAATAGTCGCCTCCTTCAGCGTCGTTCCTTCCTTGTGCGCTTTCTTTGCGCACTGGGCCACGTCTGCAAAGTACGATTAACTTCGACCGGAAATGTGCGGAGTTATATTTAGCACGCACTATCATAGCCAAGGTGGCTGTTCAAAATCGTTGCAAGCATCAAACTCTCGTTCAAGAGGTGGTTGATACGCTTTTCATTGGCCTCAATGCCAACTATGCAATGATTGGTAAAAGACCGTGAGGCTGACCATACAAAGATCAGCAAGTTGACGACGAGTCATTGAGTTATGAAACCTCACCATCAGAAAGAAGGCGGATGCTCTGTAGCACGTTCATGATCATGACCGGTTTGAAGACGTTGAGCTAATTCGGGTTTGAATGACAAATGCGCCGTATATGAAATACAAATACCTCAAACTGTCCGCTGGCTCCAGCAACGCTAACAGCAGTCTGGTTACCCATAACTTGAGCGGCGACCATTGTTACAGCCTCGCACTGCGTGGGATTAACTTTGCCAGGCATGATACTACTGCCAGGTTCATTTTCAGGGAGGCTCAGTTCACCGAAGCCACACCGAGGGCCAGAACCAAGGAACCTAATGTCATTGGCGATCTTCATCAGGGAACACGCGATGACATTCAGAGCACCATGAGTCTCAACCAAGGCATCGTGACTGGCTAGAGCTTCGAACTGCGGATCTTCGTCAGTAGTCAGACGAAACGATCGCCATAAATTGCCTTACTTTGTTAGGCGCGGTCTGGAACTTCAAGCCCGTAATGGTAGATATCTCGGCGGCAATTTTGACGTCGAACCCCTTCTTGGTATTCAGACCCTGCACGGCACGTGAGATCTCTACCCTTCGCTGGATGTTAACGGACTCACTGTGCCAACCGCAGTGCCGCCCTGAGCAAGAAGGCTCAAACGAGGAATGACATTTTGGACACGAGCAATGCCATTATCGATTTGCTGGACATATCCACTGAATTCTTGGCCAAGCGTTAGAGGTGTGGCATCCTAATAGTGATCAGATAACATCCGTATCGAAGGCCGATTATTCATACCTGCAAGTGCGTGCGTCCGATTTTGATAATCCCGCTGAAAAGCTCAGCCTTTTCGTTGAGTGCATCCCTGAGCTGCGTCAGTGCTGGAAGTAACGAGTGATTAATTTCAGTCACAGCAGCGACATGCATAGCTGTTGGGAAGCTACATGTTCGTTGAATACATGCAATGAAGTATAAGCTACCCAGTAACTCACGTGTCATTACTACTCTGGCTCATGTTAACATGGTCATTCGGATGGACTGGTTTCTTAGACCCAAGTTCACCGCCAAGGAGTTCTATCGCACGATTCGATATTACCTGTTGACCGCGCTGAGTAACAACACTAATTAATCAAGTATTTGTTATACTAACCTCGTTTACGTTCATGTTACTCTGAGTTCCACTTCCAGTTTGGAAGACAACCAAAGGGAAGTGATCCATGAGCTTCCCAGAAATGACCTGGAGTAAAGATTAGCTGAAAGCACACATACGAAACCTAGGACATGGTTTCTCACATCATCAGCAGCTTTCTGAATGGCTTCGCCAACCTTCGGGTCCATACCATAGCTGACATTGACGATAGCTGCAGCCTTCTTCAACACGCCGAAAGCCTTGATCAGAGGATGCGGCAATCGTTGCGAGGGGCCACCAATATCAAAGTTTTGTAATGACCTGCGGAAAATGTTCAGCAGAGCACACACCTCAGACCTGATCCATACCGTTGCGTTTGTGCACCCCAATAGCGATCGGCAGGGACCTGGAGCTCACCGAACGTGTCACGCTCACTGCGGAATGCCTGATTTGACTAACACGACCATTATTTCCTCCCACTTCAAGCTCATTAACTTAACTTACTATGACGGATGATGAAAATTGCCTTTGACGAGGAATCACATGGAGGAGCTTGAAGTATGACAGAATGAATGGTATGTCACGTGAGAACTAGCGCGCAGAACTCACCCGGCGGGGAAGCCAAGTGCCCGTGGTCATGACTAGCAGTCTCTAGCAGTGATGAAAGCACAGCGAGTGGAGGGTAGGGCAGAAGGTTGTGTCAACCCGCGAGGCAAACGTTACGCGCGGCTTTTGCCGTCCGAAATCACCCGCAAGAAACCCACCGAAGTCACCGATGGGGGCCACACCTGAGAATGGGTCTCCTTTCCAGTAGTGACCTTCAAGGCCTGGCAGCTAGACATCGTGGTGCCGCTTTCATTATCCCAGTGTGATTATCGGTTCGTATTTCTTTGCTTGACCGTGTGCCTATAAATCGGATATCGAGTCATCGCCGCGTCTGGCATAGATAATAATGAATCATGATAGATCTGATAGCTGCTCAATAAATGACTTTGTCCATACCTTTGACTCATGCTTGAAATGAGACATGTTATGGCTCCATTGTCGTGTCTTGTACTTGCTCTTGTGAAGTCTGAAATCATGCGCATCTCGACGCCGTCACACCGGTGATCGGGTATACGAAAGTAGCACACTTGAATCCACGTGATAACGGCAAGGTAATTACGCCAGGTTCCCGCATCTAAGCCTTCAAGTAGCATTTAAAGCAAACCTCCCTCGTCTTGCGGGAATCTGTCATTTGTACTTTTCAGATATGGCTACAGTCGCATCACAAGTCATCCTCCACCCTTATGTGTCTCAGTCCTTGAAATTTGGATCGTTCAATGTCGGCCGGGATAAGGTATTGAACCTCATTGTTTTTGGGAACGGAATACTTATCGGAGCACTTTATCCGGTAGCTCTACCGCACAGTTCAGTATTTCTCTCGGTTTCTCGCCTGGTTTCTCGTCTCTCGGGGTAACAAGGTCGAGGCTGCTCGATGGACAGCTCTCAAGAGTCACCTAGGGATTGTCCGTAAAGGTAAGGCTCATCTGTGCCGCATGATCATACTTGACATTTGTACAGTCATGCGACTTGGGAAACCTGTAGAGCACCTCCAAGCCGCATTGCGTGTTGCTTCATCATCGGGTGAAGTTGGTGAACAAGTGACTAGCATCGGTCGGCAGCTTGCCTACTTCGGGTATCTCACATATGACACAGCTCTGTGGGTAAGTAACAAGTGATCCATGGGTAGTTTTACCACTCCTGAAATAATTCGACAGGCGAACGCCGCAAAGTTCATTGCTCTCAAGCCCGGCACTGCTGAGAGGGTCACAAAGACATCCAACAGATTCTGGCTGGCTGGAATCTTATTCAGCATTACGCATGGACTGCTGAAGGTGGGACCTATCGCCCAGCTAGGATAGTGACTTCAATTTCCATTTTCCAGGCCGGACGACTCGCTCACGACGCAAAGAAATTGCGTAACTCCGAGACCTGGGGAGAAAAGGATCTCAGCGATGAAGCTCAAAGAGAAGTCAGGCAACTCGCGCTTGAAAAGTACGTTAAAATGATCACTACTATATCACAAATAGCTCTAAGATCCCCATAGCCTGCGCGCGGACACACGCCACCAATTCATCATCGACCTTTTCGACATTTGGATACCTGCTTCCAACTTGGGTCTCGTCAATGTCAATGACGGTGTTGTTGGCTTTGCTGGGTTAGTTTGGCAGTGGTTCCTTTTACTGTGCTCGCCTGATAGATTATTGTGTTCAGTTTCATTTCCTCTCTCATGGGTCTTCGTGCTCAATGGCTTGCAATCAACAATGGAAAGAAAAACTGAGATTCGCTGTAATAACACACTGCCTATCACTATTGTCTATACTTCTGCTAGTATTCGATGTTTCCCACCCCAGGGTCTGCACGTTCCTCTACTTTTGTTCAATCTATGACTACACCACACATTCGAGCGTCCTCGGCCCATGGACTGATAAAACTGTGGATAGTGTACGATCACCGTATGTACCTGACGATATGCCTTGCGTTTTCGGAGGCAAAAGACACTATCAAGACACCCTGTCATCGTTAGAGAGGTGCTTGAGGCGCTTTCTGTTGGTCCCTTAATCGAAGATATTCCTTTCGAACATCATCCATGGCTACTTGACTTGTGCTGAAAAACATTCACTCGATGTACCAGACACTGAGTGCGGTAGGACTCACTATTGTAGCATACACTCCTGCAAGGCTTTGTACTTGTCCCTGCAAGCCCATGCCACAGACAGCGTACGTCCGGTTGCGCAGTTGGCGAATTCTAAGTGACACGAAGCCAATATAAGTGTTTTTAATCATGCTAGAATGCATAGCCGAACCTTTAACTATCGAGTCACATTCTGTTAACGCGCGCGCTTTAGTAGTTTTAAGGAGTGTGTCCTCCTCCCTTCTGGAAAGCGTGTTCATGAGGACAACCTGACTCTTAATTTTGATCCCGCCAAGCGCTGATAAAATTGCCTTTTTTGTCGATGTGGGCCGCCGCTCTTCCGATTCATTACATGACATGCGTTGTCCTCCGACGTCACGATGTCGGCTCATTTGCTCTTCATAAACTCACTTTTCCGCCCCCGTTCCAGTTGTCGACTTTCGTATCGAGTTCGACACTTGGCAATACCGTCAGCCTCAACGCCGAATTTAAAGTCCAGCTTCCGCGAAACGCTGGTCTCTGGACCATCGCTAGACGACTTCATCTCAGGAGAACCCATGGAACATGTAGTGCTCGGGAACACCAAAGGGTGCGCATACATTAACATGATTTTCTGGGAATAATGCCTATTCATCCACTACAGGCCTCGGTTGCCCAGCTTTCTAAAGACAAAAATACCCTCGGGAGCATCTTTCAACAATATCAAGAAGGACTTAAGGGGACTCGGCCTTCATACTGTATGTGAGGAGGCACGATGTCCTAATATCGGTGACTGCTGGGGTGGAAAGGAAGGTGCAACTGCTGAGGAGGGCAAGAGGGCAGCAACGGCTACAATCATGGTGTGCTACGTGATACTGGAATCACTGTCCTTTGACTAATTTTACTCCTTTTAGTTGATGGGAGACACCTGTACGCGTGGTTGTAGATTCTGCTCTGTCAAGACTTCCCGTACTCCACCTCCATTGGATCCTCACGAGCCTGAGAATACAGCAGAGGCCATTAGTCGATGGGGGCTTGGATACATAGTGCTCACCAGTGTTGACAGAGATGGTGCGTTGACTAAAAATATAAACAGATCACAAACTTATAATTATCCCTGCAGACCTTGTAGATGGCGGTGCACATCACTTCGCAGAGACTATTATGAAGATTAAGCAAAAGTACGTTACATACTGACTTCGTTCGCGCCGCTTACTAACAAGATATTCGAAACAGGGCGCCCCATATTCTGGTGGAAGCATTGACAGGAGATTTTGCGGGCAATTTGGAAAATGTTTCTCTCGTAGCGAAGTCCGGCCTAGACGTTTACGCACACAATATCGAGACTGTGGAGGAGTTGACACCATTTGTGCGCGACCGCCGTGCAACTTTCCGGCAGAGTCTGAAAGTGCTTGAGCACGCGAAGAAGGAAGGTGTCCGCGTCACTAAGACAAGTATCATGCTTGGTGTCGGCGAGACAGAAGAACAGGTCATGGATGCGTTACGAGGTAAGCTGAACGCATTTATACCGAGATTATAATTGCTGGATCATGGTTCAGAACTTCGCAAAATTAATGTTGATGTTGTCACCTTTGGGCAATATATGAGGCCCACGAAGCGACACATGAAAGTTGACCGATATGTGGAACCTTCTGAGTTTGACAGATGGAAACAAATAGCTGATGACATGGGTTTCTCCTATGTGGCCAGCGGTCCTCTTGTCCGCAGTAGCTACAAGGTCAGCCATTTAGGTTTTTTTTCGTTGCGGACGATTCTTCTCACACATGGTTGCTAGGCTGGCGAATACTTTATAGAGAATATGTTAAAAGGAAAGGCCACAGAGAACAGGGTGACGAATCTCGTTACACAGGAAGTGTCAACAAGCCATACCCAGACGACATGATCGTGCCTACAATATTGTCCTACCATTTACTCTTTATCTAATCCACGAGGGGATACTGTCTACTGTCGTTTCCCAAATGATGTGATCGGACCTTTGTCAGTTACCAGCATTCAAGGATCATCCGGCATGCTTGGACTGCGAGCTATAAGAATGTCATTTGAGTGACAGGAACTACTTACTTACTGGATTAGCTCAGGATAGTCCTATCCCTGACTCCCTTACCTAGAATTCCCAGTCGAACATGCAGGTCATGTATCTACAAGGAATCTACATTCACAACTTCCATTAACTCTAGAGACAACCATTATTTAATTGAATAGGTTTTTGAGGTGTACGCTAGTTAGGGGCGAGTATGGACCTTATTCTACTTCCTTCTTCAGTTTGGGATATTATACGCAGGAGTCAATCCTCGGGCTGCTCCACTTCCGGTGGCGAAGTCAAACAGACACAATCCTCGAACATCGTACTAAGATGTACGCAGTTGTCATTGGCATGCGTATCCCAAATGCTGATGATGAGACGTGGCACGATAATAAACGGCGCGGTAAGCTTGAACAACAGTACCAGATACAGCACCACCGTCTGTGCATGCCTGCGTTAGAGAATATCAATATCTCTGTAGAATCACAGGGAATCATACCGAAGGGTGGGCCCACAATGCCGCCATGAATAGTTGAGTTGCCAAATTCCTAGTATGATTCAATGAATGCTTTCAGAGAACACAACAAACGAAGGGAACTTACAGGACAAAGTATATGACATGATGTCGGACGATCATCACTACGTAGGTGTTAGGCTTCATTTTAAATTCCTGTCGTTCTTTCAGGTGCTTCCTAAGGATGGCAATGGCGAGAACAACCAAGAAAATATCATAGCATATGACGGGGATGGAGGCATAAATCGCATGCATAGGCCCGATGTGGAAGAAAGTCGTGCAGTATTTGATATTTGGAGTTATTATGATTTCTTGCACTGTACAACCAGGCATCAGCTTGCAAAGAATTCAATCAAAATAGAAATTCACCTGAGATCGCCGAAGGCCGGCTCCATAAAAATGCATCCACCGCTATATAGAGCGCGACGATAGGTAGGAGCAACCCCAGTAGAACATAAAGTATGAGCTTTGATTGGCTATGTAGGGCGTAAAGACGCCAGATGAGGATGACTGCAAATGTAAAGATGGGAAGCGCAAAGGTGCGAGACTGTATGGATACGACATACCTTCCGCCAAGCAAAAATATACAGAAAAACCCCATTGCATGAACACGAATATACCATAACCTATTTCAATTTGATGATACTAAGCAAAGCTAGTTTCAGTTGAATACGATACGATAAACTCACAACTAAACAAGAGGTCAGCAGCAGATCAGGCTAGCTGTAAAACGAACTTCTGACGTACGGCTGAATCTAGGTCAACCTAAAACCCTCTAAAGAAAGGATCAATATACTCACTGCTTCAGGCATATAAAATAGACCTCCCCCTGGTGCTAGTCAATCAATGATGGCTCATTGGCATCACGTCACGTACAGATGGCGCAAATCCTAGACGTCAGCGTCAACATCTTGAACGTGCCGTCGGAAGGATACAAGCACCGCGACGTACATTGCAAGGACAATACCAAAATATCGAACCTGACATAGCAACGAAATGGGAAACCATAAAGCACTTTGGCAGGGTAGAGCTCACAACAAGGTATAGATATGTCATCACTGACCACTGTCTTTGCTGCATAACCAGTCAGTTTTGGACTTTCATATCGTTGGAGTTGAGCTCTAACCCAAACAAACGTGACCTGCGACGGTGTAATCATGAGTACTCGACGATAATGAAACGACCCCCTCGTTACCTCTTTCTCGAACTGAAGCACTAGATAATATTACGCTCAGCCGCATTGCAAGCATGAAAGCTACTGACTGTAGTCGTAGGATATCAGGGTGAAGATTGCAACTGGAAATGATGAAGTTCAGCACAATGATTCGTGTCCAACAAGCTCTGACGAACTTACCCGTTATGTTGTTATTCCAGTCAAGAGCATAGAGATGTTCTTCTGGTGACAACATGAAAGTGTGCAGATCAAATGGCGAATTCAAAGAGTGAGGGATGGGCTGCTGATTACCAATGTACGATACTTATAGGCATTAGAATCTCGTTGACCTGTAAGGGTTGTGAACTCGTTGTGTCCTAATGAAAATTGTACGACATCATGATCGTGTCAATCTTGCGCCGTAAGTTTCCATCTGATGTCACGAATCAACCGTCTTGCTACCAATGGAAAGTCGTAAGTATATCGATGATCACACGGCTGACAACTTGAAGGGTCACCCTGCGTCACCGGTGGTTGTTGCTGCTTCTGCGGCTAGATTCTGCCTGTCCGACCCTCCTGTTAGGTAGCATGGGCAGTGCTTATCTACCCCGACACGGTGACATGGCTGAGAAACACTGAATGAAGTCCACATTACCACCCATATAACCTGGGCAAGCAAGTATATGCATAATTTAAGGTCGAACCTCATAAACAACGTCCGTAGTCGCTGACCTAAAGCCTAAAGGTCGGACGTGCTCGATGAGCGGTGTTTGATTTTAGGCTCCGCTTAGTGTCGTTTAAGTTTCTGAATGAACAGGCTTGTAATAAGTATTGCAAAAATAATAAATGTAGAATATAATTATTTAATTTTTTCTTTCTAGGGGACTATCCCATACATCTCCATGCGTGTCCTTAAGAAGATGTCAAGGAATGCCGAGACCGTTAAAAAGACTGCTGATGCTACTCAGCTGGCAGCTGCAGCAAATTGAACACTACATGTGCGATGACCTTAAGTCTATGTTTTACATTTTTTCGAATTTGTTATGAAGTATGGGGGGGCACATGGTATAGTCATGCCGACATGGGATAAGCTGGTAATGCCATGGTCAGAGGCCTATCAAAACTTAGGTGCCAGCAGTTTACTTACCACCTTCTTATCGAAGAAGGGGGCCATATCTGAAGGCGACTTTCTAATGGACAGAGTCTCTGATTATTTTTCGGAATTCAAACCCCTAGTCAATGAATGGCGCAGTCAAATCCACCTCACAGAAATTGACACCAATGCAACAGTCATTCACGATCACATATTCCAGATGCTTGTAATGTTCATCATGAAACTCGAGGACTTGGATGAAAATCATGAAATACCCATCCCAATCCCAATCCAATCCCAATCCTGCTGCCCTGTCCTCCTCCCCAGTCTCCTACTGTTCAACCCATCACAGGTCCTTCAACCCTTCCACATACTGGCACAACATGGTCTTCGACAAGTCAGCCAGGCCCACACTCAGGCTGTTCTCAATAACTTGTTTCTATTACTCGGAGGACAAGATGAGTAGCCAATAGCACGGGTATGGGCCACCCACACGGGTTAGGGGTGCGGGTGTGGGTCCGCATTTCGTGTACCCATACCCAAACCCAAACCCTCGCTCAGGTTTGACCTTCAAAACATAGTATTTTACTACCTATTCAAGGAATTTCAACATATGTATAGTATCTGCACTAAAAAAATTTGAGAACTGCGCCACATGTATAGTACCTACACTAAAACAAACCTTAACAAAGCCACAAGTGTCAAAATCCATCATCCAAAGTGCATCCTACTTCAAAACCAACCATGCAACCAAACATATTCACGGCAGCTGCAAGATGGGTCACAAAGCTGACAGACAAGGCAAAAGCCGCACTCAAAGACAAACTCGAAGCCACCGTCACATCAAAGAAACGGAAAATTGATGCCAACATTGCCAAGGGTGCGAGTGAAGTCTCAAGCAACTCCAAGAAGGCAAAAGCAACCCCCCCCCAGCTGGTACTCCCCAAGATAGAGTGATCTCCAAGGCCTCTCCATCTTCACCTGACACGGGAACAGTGCCAGCGCCAGTGCTTTGCAAGACCCGTCGTGCTATAGTTCAAACTGAGGAGGAGGAGGCATTGCTATACAGCGATACAATCAATGTCGATGACGAGCATGAACAGAATGAAAATGAGTCTGATAACTGAGGTTCAGGTCCAGAAAGTGTGGAGGATGAACGAAGTATGTGCCTACTAACACACAAAAAAGCATAAGTAATTAGACACACAACAGAACGGCTCATGGATAAATGGGTCTCACCAGTCTACACATTTTTTGAACCTATCCCCCACATCATAGAAATTGATGGATGATGAGCACATGAGTTCAAATGTTGCACAAAAGCATGCAAGGTAACCATCTGCCGCTTCCTGGACAAAAAAGATGCGTGCTCCACTGGTAATATGCGCAAGCATGTAAAGTGTTGTTGGGGCGAAGAGATATTGAGCATCACTGATGAGGCAAAGGATGCCGATGAGGTCCGTGGAAGGATTGTTGGAAGTATTCTGAAGAACGGAAAAATCACTGCATCATTTGAATGAAAAGGAAAAGGAAAAGTGACTTACTTGCACCACCAGCACACATGTGCAGAAACCAAGTAAGATAATCACATTATTGTTGCTGCTGTTGTTGAAGCTGTTGTTTTCCAGGGTGGAAATTGTGCGGTGGGTTTCTGAAAGCCTGTGTCCATTTGAGGTTGTTAAGGACTGAGGATTTCAATCATTGATGAAAACGGGAAGGCCGGAATACTACTTACCTTCGCCATCCACAGTCTCACGCGACATTCGACTCATGTTTGCAAAGACTTGCCAATGAGTTGCTAAAATGTTACAGGTTAGTTTGAATCACACAACAATGGAATCCAATTAAAAAAACTCACTAGGAATACGATGGCAAAATCAATTTCACAACAGACGGATGGAGCTCACTGAACCACCGAGCATTTGTTGCATTCTCAGTACACCTCGAGCATAATGGTGTTCCACTAAGCCTACCATTAGACATCATTGAAGTTGCGAAGGTTGGGAATCTCTTACCTCCAAAAATAGAACTCAAATACTAATGTTGTGATAGTCGCACACTGGCGAGGAGTTGGCCCATGTGTTTGAAGAGATGCTAGAAAAATTCGGAATTTCAGAAAAGGTAAATTTGAAAGACAAAACTGCAGTAACTTCCATGTGCCATCCAGATCTTGAGCGTGACATGCAATAATGCATCGAATAACACAGTTATGGTTGAAAAACTTGCAGTCAGTGTACCTGCATTTGGAGGAACAGCGAGTCATACTCGCTGTTTCTTCCACACAGTCAACCTTGTCGCAAAATCGTTGATTCGTGAGTTTGATGTGACCAAGAAGAACACTGACAAAGCCCTGGACTCCGCAACGGATGTCAATGAAGACATGGACGTAGTCCAGGCAGAGCTTGATGAGTTGAGTGAAGGAATCGATGAAGAGGATGCAGAGATGATTGCGGAGGATGATGACCTTAGGGACAATGATGACAGTTGGGTGAATGAAATCGAGGAGCTGCCTGATAATGAGCGGTCTGTCCTGCAAACAAGTGTCCTTCCAGTGAAGTTGGCACTTGTAAAGGTAAATATATATATATAAATGTACCTTCAAGCTAACTTGGCCTTCTAGGTGCGCAAACTTGCCTACAAGATCATACACTCGACAACTGTCACTCTTCCAGCCTGGCGTGAGATTCTCGAGGACTTGCAGTTCAGGGTGACATTGATGCCACGTGATGTCTCAACCTCATGGAACTCCACTCTGGATATGCTTGAGTATGCACTCAAACATCAGGAAGCTGTTGACGCAATAACACAGTGTCATATATTGGGGCTCCGGAAGTTTGAATTGAGCGACCATGAGTGGGAGATTATCAAGCAGCTTAGAGATATTCTCAAGGTATGTGCAAACAAAGCACAACTACTTCGACGACACTAACATACTTCCTAATCTAGATTCTAAAGGACGCAACATTGTTCTTCTCCCGCGCCACACCCAACCTGGCAACTGTCATCCCCGCCATGGATCTCATAGAGGAGAAACTGACATTGTACTCCCGCAACAAAATTTACTCACCTGCTATTCGTGGTGCAGTTTGCTTGGCCAAGGAAACATTGAATAGGTACTATGAACTAACTGATCGCTCTGAAGTGTATTGCATCGCAATGGGTTCGTTTCTTTTTTTGTTTGGGTCATTATTACTACTAAACTAAAGTTATTACAGTACTACATCCTCGCCATAAAGTAGCTTATTTCAAGACAGCTCAATGGGAGGATGACTGGATCAACACTGCCAAGACTCTTGTGCATGACAAATTCCAGTGTTCCTACTATGTGTTACAAGTAACATCAGTCACGTGGCCCCCCTATCATTTTCCCCTTGTCCTCGCCCTTACCATCTACCGGCTCGCACTCCTTTACCGGATATCCGTTGACCAGATCCTCGGGACTGTTCTCGTCCCTCGTCCCTCATCTCCACTTCCTCTTCAACCTTATCTCTAATAAAGCACCAATGTGCGCACGTGCCTTGGCACTATGACTCATTGTGACTCATGCCACCAATGTGGCTTTCCTTTCTTGTTCCCTCTGACTCGCACCTGCTGTGCATTGTATCACTACTGTTGGTTAGGACCAACGTTCCTTGGCCTCATTCTGCATTCGACCTCCCATCACTAATTAGGCTGTGTTGCCAGCGTACCTATACCCTTACCTACAGTACGGTAACCCAGCCCTCAACCCTTTCCACTTAGTATAAGTAGTCGGTCATCCTGTACTAGATTCCTTAACTTGAATCTACTCAATCTTCCCTCGAAACTACTTCCTTCAAGAGCCTCTCAGCTCTTGTCTCTAGTATGACTTTCTTAGGTGCTCGTTGCATCTAAGTCTACCTCGATTGATGGTCATCATTAGGACAAGACAGTCCTTACTTTGGCTTCAGTGACTTCAAAGACATCTGTCTTAGAAGTCACGTGACATGCGCTGTCTTCTTAGATAGATGATCTATAGATAAACACCTATAAAACCAAATATCTCCACGGTCAGCGATTCAGACAAATACCAATGACTGATAACGTGGTCGTTCGTGGGTGGCTTGCCTTGCTCCTAAGATACAGTCAGTAGAATATGGCTCGCACAAAAAGTCAGTAGTCAGTGATCAGCAGTCAACAGTCAATCCAACAATATGGATATGAAACACAGTGATGAGAGAAAAACAACACAGAACTCGGTCAGTCAGTGATCGACAACAACAACAACAATCGCAACAACACAGACAACAACAAACAAATCAGGAAACACAGTCACTCTAACAATATAGAGATGACACAAAACAAACAGACACTCTTCCTAACACTTCACACAGCAACAAGGATTCGTACACAAACTTAGTGCAGCAAGTTGTGCGGAGTTACAATGAGAGTCCCCCTCAATACAAAAACAGATGAAACTACCGTCAGGCCTAGTCAAGCCTCTGTAGCACTCTTAGCCTAATATTGAACCTGCTGCCAAGGAACTCACAATGAGTATTAAACAGACTCAGGAACGGGCGACCTTGGACTTCAATACCAAGTCCCCTTTTCAATAGCTAAAGTCTAACTCGCAAATGACTACCCTCGATCGGTATAACACACAGATGTAAGAGGTCAGGTATCACTGTCAACACCTAAAGTCTCCCCACTAGACTATCAGAGTCTTCCGTGGACAAAAGAGACAACACCAAACTTCTGGGTAAGAATGAGACTGAAACTTTGGTACTTGAGAGAAAGTTGATAGGTTGAGACAACAACAACACAAGACCGCTACAACAAAAACACGAACACGAACACGATCACGATCACGGAGACTGTTAGCAACAACGATCACAAAGCAAACAGACAGCGATCAGAGAGATGGTCAGTATAGACAGTCACCAACACACCACACACTTGAGACAGAGAGAGAGAAACAGAAACAGAGAAACAGAGAAACAGAGAAACAGAGAAACAGAGAAACAAAGAAACAGAGAGAGAAACAGAAAACACGAGCTTCAGTCACGAATCTCAGACACGATCTCAGAGAGAGAAAAAAAAAGAAAAACAATCACAGAGAGATTCACAGACAGAGACACAGACAATGACACAAAAAGAAACAGAGAAATTCAGACAGACAATCAGGAGAAAACAGAAAAAGAAAAATTAGTCTTGCTAGTTGTCAGACACAGTGAGCTCAAGGTATGTGCTAGCTGTTCAGCACAATGAGCTCGAAAGTGTGGTGCTGGTTGTTGAGCACAGTGAGCTCCAACCTTGAACTGCACTTGCTGGTTGCTGATTCACACTTCACTCACAATTTTATTCTGAGAGTCAAAAACAGTGGGGAACTGCTTGCTTTATTGGGCAAAAAGCTGGTCCTTATATAGACAAATTTGGTGGCTATACTACTAGTTTCTCGTACTTAAAGTTGTAACTTTAGTTCGATAGTACCAAGTCACACGGTATCTTTGAGTCAAAAGTAAATATTCATAACTCTAGTTAGTATAATGATGAGTCAGCAAGAGCTGCGTATGGATCATGTGTCAGGTGACCCTTGATGACTCAGCTAGACAAGAGTGAGAAATGATTACATATTGTGTACATATGTTTATAAAATCTGTGGCTGATGAATTGACTGGTAGCATAATGACATAGGACGCGTGTTTAGCGATTTGTAAGCTTTCCCACAGGGTAACCTTACGCAAACATATTTTTCACAGTCACCTGATATGTGTGAGAATCTGTCTGAGTCACCCTCATGGCTGACTAAGCAAAACTCATCGCAGGAATAAATGTGCAAAAATATTCAATCCGCTCGCGTACAAACTCGTAAAAGTGAAAAAAAGCGAAAAATATTCCCTTAGCCTCAGTCTGACTTCAGGTCACAGGGAAAATGATTTCATAGTGATTCTAGGGCATAGGGGCTCATAGGAGAGTATCGGTCATCCATGCACCAAACCAGTTTGGTGCAGGTCAGCGCATCTGTGATACCTGCCGACTCGATGTCGCCAGTCTCACTCGCTACACCGGATCCTCCCGGTTACGTCACAAACGTTAGCGGATGATGCCCCTCTTAGGGCTCCACATAACAGACCTATTTGAGTGTGTAACACTGTGCTTTGTATGTTGA